AGATATTCAATTTGCCATAGTTCAAGATCAAAAGAAAGATATTATAGTCATCAGCAATCTCCACACGCTCTCATTTCTAGAAAACATAGGTGTTTATAATGCCTCAACTCCAAATAACCCCATACTAACCAATATGTCACACTATGTGCTTGGTAAGCCTGGCTGGAACCTCTGTAATGATGATTTTCATTGTAATACTTCTCATATAATGCTTTTATCCCAAGAGGGTAGATTATAGGTGAGATAGAATCAGAACCTGAAAGGGTGGCGTGAGCAAATGCTCCATAGAAAAGCAAAGTTGGCAAGACTAGACCCTTAATCAAAATAAAAACAAAAGACCACTGTTACCTTTTTACCCTAACACAGAAGGCAGTGCAATGACCAAATGCCATGCAGTCTTCCAACCAATCTGATGGTGACCAAACTCCCTGGTGAGCAATATTGTTCCTTTTCCAGAAGTCAGAACAATGAACACTTGCTGAAAACTCAAGTTCTCCAAGTTTCCTTTGTTTAACTCCCACTGTAACCTTACAGATAGCAACTATTATTGTCTCTACCTCTTTAACAGACTGGGAGAGAAGTTGAGTAATTAGCCCAAAATCCCCTGCATAATTAAACAGAATAACCAGGATTTGAGCCTAGCCTGTTTGGCTCCAGAATGCAAAGTACTTACCCACCATGCCACATACAATCTCATAGAGTAGACACTGTTGGCTGTTCTATTAGTAGACCTGAGGTTCTCATGTATTAATAGAAATAAAAGAACGTTTAAAATGAGATTTCCATTTCTTTGGGTCATATTTGCTAATCTTGAACATTGGGCAAACACATAAAACCCTTAAAAGGAAAGCTCATGTAAATTGTTTATTTATTCATTTTCTCATTTATTTATTCATTACAAAATGGCTTATTCTAAAATCAGCTATGATGAAAATATAACAGAGAGGTCAAATTCATATCCTTCGGGGAGGAACCTATGTACACAATTGTGATCTTAACAAGTTTGGAATTCTGTGACATTAACTGGTTGTCTAAAGTAACCCTAGTCAAGCAGAGTGGTTTGTATACATGAAACATTGCTAAAATCCTCTGAAATCATTAAAGACAACCAAACGTAGGAGGGAAAATATCCAACTGGGACTTGGTGAGCTAAAGATCCTACCATTCATTAAGCACATGATCCTCACCTCCACAGCCTCTTTCACAATAGGCTGCTGACACTCTTTTCACAATTAAAAGCCCAAGTCATTTCCATCACAGACTCCTGTACTTGCTCTGAGATGATCCAGAAGAAAAGAGACAAGGCAGAAAAGTGGCTACTTTTCTCTCTGGGACCCAACAGGGTGAGCCCAGCAAGCATAGAAGGAAAATCAGGAATGGTCAAACTCTGCCTTTGACTTCTTCTCTTCTTACTCAGGGTACCTTTCGTGAGTTCAGGAAGCTGGAGGCCCAGGGTCTTTGAATGAACACCGTCTAGGCCTTTACCTCCTAGTGCCCAGGTACCAGGCCACCACTGCCCCCAGGCTTTGTTAAAAGTGGCCTCATCTGTCCCCTTCCTCTCTGTCCTGTACTAATGGACACTAAATGTTTAGATGATCTCTCTCAGAGATATTTTATTTTCTCATAGGGACCCTGTAGAGGTGCAGCACTTACATTTCAACTGTGTTTCTAAGTGGCTGCAATTTCACACCAAGATAACAAGCTGAGAACTGGATAAAGATGTGGTTATTCTATAAAATAGAGTACTACTCAGTCATAAAGAATGAGAATCTAGAGTCATTCATGGGAAAATGGATGCATACTCTTTTTTTTCTGATTTTTTTTTTTTATGGTACCAGGGATCAAACTCGAGCCCTTGCACTTGTGAGGCAGGTGGCAGAAGCAGAACCACTGATCTAAATCCCAGGCCCGTGAGGCCACACTCTTAAGTGAAATAAATAAGACACATGTGTAACTATTGAACAGTTTATCTGGTGCGAAAAACTAAAAATGTAAATAAGATTCAAATTGTATAACTGATAATGTGAAATAGGAAGAAAAAGGCTAAAGGTGTAGGGGAAGTGGAAAGGGCAGGGGAAAGGAAATAAAGGAAAGAAAAAATATGAGAAAATGAAAAAATGGAAGCAAAGACTTTGCAAATAGGGGAGGTGGAGGGGATGAAGGGAGGGCAGAGGTATGGGGAAAAAATGAGAACCAAGACCTGTCATGTAAAGAAAGGTACAAGATCCCCATGATGAATGCAACTGTACTGTATACCTAAAATGTACCAATAAACCCAATGAGAAAAAAAGTGCCAATAAACTCAATTAAAAAGAAACAGAGAGAGAAAGATGATCACTATCATGAATTGAAAGGTGATATCCATGTTCCAGAAATAGTCTCAAAATAAAATCATCCTGGTTTAACCAGGTTGAGCCCTAAATTCAATAACAAGTGCCCTTTTAAAAAGTTGGGAAGAGGAGACACAAAAAGCCATGGAGAGATGCAGAAAAGACTGCAGCGATGCATCTACAAGCCAAGGAATGTGTACAGCCAGTACCACCAGAAGCTGGGAGAGGCAAAGAAGGGTCCTCCCTCTAAGACTGGAGAGGGAACACAGCCCTATGGGCAGATTGATTTCAGACTTTACTCCTAGGACTATGAGAGAATAAAAATTGTGCTTGGTGGTGTCTTTGTTTGTTTTGTTTTATTTTTGTTGTGCTGAGGATTAAATCCAGAACTTCACAAATGCTATTAAGTGCTCTATCACTGAGCTATATCTTCAGCCCTTCTTTTTCTTTATTTTGAGATAGGGTCTCACTAAGTTGCTCAAGTGGCCTTGAACTTGTGATCCTCCTGCCTCTACCTGCCAGGTAGCTGGGATTTCATACTTGGCTAATTGCTGTTATATCTAAACCACCATGATTGTAGTAATTAGTCAGGGTAGCCTACATTAATACACTCGCCTTCCAGAGAAACCCTTCTATAAGAACACAGGTATCTTCCTGTCTTCTGCACTGACATGGAGAAGCAGTCTGAGCTTGTTCACCTTCTACCTATATGGCTGCTCAGAAAAAGGACTCAACTCAGAAAAGGCCCGTGAAGCCTTCCATCTTGGCATGCTACTAGAGAGTTTATGAACCAGTACTTCGTGTAGCAGTTCCCCCCAACCCCGCCAAACCTGCCCTCATGGGAAAAAGGGGAGGAGCCACTGTCAAAATTTCTGAGATTCCGCATTGAAAGAGAGGAAAACGCAAAGGAATAAAATCTAAAGCCCCAGGATGTAAGACCACCAGGGACCTTAACCAAACGTTCTGAAGAACTACTGATCAGCGACAGCGAGACAACACCCCAGAGGAACCAAATGAGCAGCACCAAAGAATGATGTTAAACAGACCTTTATTAAGTTGACCAGGCTGGGCTTAAATTGGCAATCCTCTTGCTTCAGCTTCTAAGAATTCTAGAATTATAAGCATGTACCACTTTGCCCAACAAATTGATCGTGGGCATCCATCTTCTGCTCTTCCTAATGTCTTGGCCCATTTTCAGGCTTTGGATGAGGGTTTAATGGTACCACTGATTTCCTGCTTTGCCAGCTTGTAGATAGAAAATTATGGGACTTCTTGACATCCATAATTCCATGGGCCACCTCCTAGTCCTATTAGTTCTATTCTTGTGGATAATCTTAATATATTTTGTAAGAATCTACTGTGCATAGTAGATGGTGTACAGACACATATATGATTATATCTTCCTATGTTGTATTACATGCATGAAGTCAAAGATAATTCCTCACTACCAAAAAAAAAAGGCCCTTTAAAAAAATCACAGATAAAATTTCTCTGTCCTCTTTTTCATTCAAATAAGTATCACTAGCTTCTTGTCTGGTCATTGTTCCATCAAGAAAGGCCAGTGAAGAAGTTATATGATCTAGCCATGGTGTCTTGTTAAAGAGGCCTGTGCAAATCATCTCTGAAGACAGAACTTCAAAGCACAGATCTCCAGGTAAAAGCTTCTGCAGCCATTGAGTTCCAACAAATCAGACAAATCAGATTTCCAAAAGAAATAAGTCCTCCAACTTCAAAGATATATGTGAATGAGTATGAATGTGTATATTCAATCTTCAGTATTGATTGTGTATTGGTCTCTATTCATACGCAATCTTGAAAAAGGTTATTTTCTACAAACGTATAATCTACAAACTCTAACAACTAAAACAGCAATAGAGCCAGGGATTTAGCTCAGTGACACCATGCCTGCCTCACAAGCACAAGGTTGTGAGTTCAATCCCCGGTATCAAAAAAAAAATGATAGAATAAAATAGCACTAAATCCTCAGGGCTACTGAGGTGGTGATAGAAGCCACCATGAATCCCAGTGTTGAATTCTATCTTTTCTAATACAGTAATTCTCACTTCTCTGCCTCTCTGCTTGGGATGATACATTCCTTCTCATCTGTTGTTAAAACAACAAAGACTGCTGAGAGTTACAGAAGAATGTGCAACTATATCCAGTCTTAATGATTTTAACTATCAGACTATTCTGACATTTTGAACAGAGAGTCTCATTATCCAGTGCTGATGAACTATTTAGCTAAGATCATGAAAGCATAAGGTTTTCAGCTAAACAGACAGCAGGTGAATGACCATCATCTCTGCCCTCCACATATTTCCTTGGCTTTTCACAAACTGAGCACTCAATGGATACCAAGAACTATCTAGGGTAATGGGAATTTCTACATGGTCAACTTTGTCCTTGAGAAATTTTCAAGCTGGGAGGATGGACAGATACATAAATAAGCTAACTGTTCATAATATAGTGAGTGATTTTGGTATATAAATGTTCATAGTTGAAGTTGGGGATAGCAAAACACAAAACAGGGGGACCCTTGACTTCATCTTGACTTTATAGGAAAGCTTCCTAAAATATACAATCTTTGAGTTGAGTCTTGAAGAATAAGTAAGAATTGTGAAGTACAAAGAGTTCAAAGAATATTCCAGGAAGAGAGAACTGTATGGGCAAAGAATGGTTCCTAGGTGGCTAAATTACTACTGCACATGGCAGCGGGTAGCAGCAGACAGACCTGGTAGGAGGAATGTGACCCAAGCAGCTTGGATTCTATTCCACAAGCCTTCTTCTCATCATGGCGTGAGCAGTATATGGCACCTGCAGGGAACATGGAAGTAAATCAATGAGGCTCCTGATACAGTAGCCATCTTTTGAGTTAAGGAATGAAATCTACCTGCACACCTGTAATCAAATCCAACATACTGGTTAGAAAGTTCACTAAATGAAATAGAGAGCCATTAAAAGCTTCAAAGGAGTGTTATGATATAGTCAGAGCTGTATTTTAAACTGCTCACCTGGCTGCAGTGTGAAAAATTGATTCATTTAGGATTTGACCATAATAGTTTAGTCAAGAGCCATTGATGTCTTAACTGGGTCAGCAATCAAACAGATAAAGAGGACAGGTTCAAGAAACAGGGAGGAAGTAAAATTGACCAAATTTAGTGATTTAGTACCCATGGGAAATAAGGGGGAAATGAGTTTAGGATAGCTCTCTGGTTTCTGGTCCAGTATTGAATGAAAGCATAAATACGTAAATCTATTTGGTTTAAAAGATTGAGATCTTTCTTCATTCATCACACCGCATATATTGAAATAGAGGTTTTCTTTTTAAGACTTCCTACTTCTGATGAGCAAAGAAAACACTAAGGAGATCTAGAATCTTCTCCTCTTTCTCAAAGTCCTATATAAATGCCAGGGCCAACATTCATAAAAAGACAGGATGGAGCAAAGGAAGGAAGAGGAGAAAAGAGGGAGGGAGAGGTCAATCTGGTTTTTTGTGTGACAGCAAGATATTAAATTTTCCTTAGTTTAGGGCCACCTTGCCATTTGTAACGGTTTAGAGAAAAATTTCTCCCCGAAGCTTATAGGTTCAAAGACAGACCTTTGGGAAGGTGACTGAGTCATGGAATTGCTAATCTTATCAGTAGACTAATCCATTGGTAAATTCACAGATGAATGAGCTATTAAGGAAAAAGCAGTTAGTGTGTCACCAGGGCATGACTTTGAAAAATATCACTTTTTTCTGACACTTCCTTGTTCCCTCTGCTTCCTGGCCATTAGGAAAGATACTGAGCAGTCCCTAGCAGGTAGGTACACAGTCATGCAGAGGGAGAACTTTGGTAATCTGGATAACATTTACAATATGGAATAAGATTTGGGTCAGTCTTCCCAGTCCTATCTATAATAATAGCTTTATTATAGGTTCACATTCCACTTTCCCTACTTAAGACAGATTTTCTCACTACATTGTATTATATCCATTTTGGGATCATTTTTAGATGCTGATTTTAGATAATCTTGGAGAAAAATTAACTAATTTGAAACATCATTAAATCCCAGGAGCCTCTAAAATCAGACAAATGAATTGGGCTGTAAGATCATAGTTTTCCTTGCTAAATTGTGTGATGGTTAATTTTATTTATCAACTGGGCCATGGGACTCTCATAGAACTGGTAAAATATTAATTCTGAATGTGTTGTGGTCTGCATATAAAATGTCCTCACAGCCGAGCATGGTGGCTCACTTCTATAATCCCAGCACTCAAGAGGCTGAGGCAGGAGGATCACTGTGAGTTTGAGATCAGGCTGGGCTACATAGCGAGTTCTAGGTCAGCCTCAACTACATAGTGAGACCCTGTCTCAAAAATAAATTAAATAAATAAAATATCCCCCAAACATTTATTGTGCTGAAGGCTTGATCTCTAGTGTAGCAATATTCAAAGGTGGGCTTTGGTTGGCGTATGAGGACACTAAACTCATCAACTATTAGTTCAATGATGACTTCCTAGCTGAATAAGAAGTGGAGTCTAGGTAAGAGAATGAGTCATGGATGGATGACTTTGGAAACTCTGTGTTGTCCCTGGCCCCTTCCCCTTAGGCTCTTTTATTCTCTCTGCTTCCTGGCTGTCATGAGGTGAACTTCTTTCCTCTGCTGTGCCCCTCCACCGTGATATTTCTACCTTGGGGCCAGTCAACCATGGACTGAAACCGTTGAACCCTTTAGCTAGAATAAACCTTTTCTTCCTTAAGTTTTGCATGTCAGATATTTTGCTCCAGCAGTGGAAAAGTGACTAACACACCATCTATCAGATTTTAGAGGTCTAAAGTCTTTCTCAAAACAACTAGCTCCTTTGCCTCTACTCTTCAAGAGAAATCAGATCCCAAAATAATGGTTAGGCTTTTGATTCTTGAAATAAATGACGCTGAGCCCTTTGGATAACATTGGTTACATCACCTCCTAGCTCTAGAGAGCAGCTTTCCGAATAGTTTTAAATCAATGTAATTTTAGATAGTCTAAATGGTACCATCATTATTTTCTAGAAAACACAAAGTTCAGAAAGCTACATACACCTATACTGAGTACATCAGGGCCTGGCTGTCTCACATACTTGGCAGGGCTGATTTCAGATGATACTAACAAATTTTGGATGCCTCTAGAGCTACCCTGAAATTCTCCTTCTAAATAACAGGCTTAGAAGGCAAAGCAGCAAATGCAATTTATTTATCTCATTTGTTTCTTTCTTTGTTTTTGAGACAGGGTCTCACTATGTAGTTGTGACTGAGCTGGAACTCACTATATAGCCCAGGCTGATCTCAATTCACAGTGATCCTCCTGCCTCACCTCCCAAGTGCTGGGATTACAGGCGTGCGCCACCATGCCTGGCTCTATTTACCTCATTTAAATCAGACAGACAATGGGAGAATTTTTATTATGGACTGGTTATTGGATGATATTCCAAATTTGTGATTAATTTGGATAGCTAAAATAACACTAAAACAAAATGTTTTAATAAATTATTTATAGTGTTTACTTGAGAGAAACTTCATCCCTCTCCCCCCCAAAAAAGTTGAGGAAACTAAATAAAGATTGGCCATCAGTTGACCTGTGAAAGCTGCACAATGTGCTATTATCTATTCATATAACTTATATTTGCCTGTGTTTATGAGGAAATTTCTACTATATAAATATTTACTTCCCATTCACCACATATCCACTTCAATTCATAGAAGATTTGAGTTTGTAGCAAATTAGATGATCTTTTTTTTTTCTTTTTTGTTTTTTGTATACCAGGGATCGAACTCAGGCCCTTGCACTTGCGAGGCAGGAGCCAGAACCACTGAGCTAAATCCCCAGCCCTAGATGATCAATTTAAAAAAAAAACAAGTACCATGATTACAGTCTGGTTGCAACACAGAAAAATGGGCTAGAAGTAACCCTGTGGACTGGACAGAGTAGAGTTTTAACAGTTACTCAGCAGACAATAGTGGCCAGGACTAGACTTGCACCTATGAAATAGAGCAAAATATATTTCAAGAGCTGTTAATAAGATAGATTCAGCAGTTACCTGGTGATTGCATGAATGAATAAAGGCAAGAAAAAAGATGGAGATCACAGATCATAAGCCCAGAGAAAGTAACTAGACACCAAGAAGCTTTTTTCCATCCTACAAAGCATCCCTTTGACAAATGACCTGTTTCTGAAAAAAGATTTGTACTTAGCATTTCCACTGAGCAAGAGTTTCCAATGGAGAGCTCTGAATCACCCTATCTGCAAAGAATAAAGGCAGGCTTCTGGAGAAAAAATGCCATAAATTAAACAGGCGCTAGTCTTGACAGCATTAAAAATAATCTGTCACCTGCTCCTAACTTTGTTCTTGGCTACAGAGGCCATTATTTCACCGAACAAAGAGGGTAAGAAATCTGGAAAGAACTGTGTTACCCAGAGAGGCTGGTAAGAACTCCATTCGAAGCAGACCTGCATGTGAATGAGGAAAGGGGCAGGAAGCTCCAAGCACAAGCGAAAAACAGTCCAACTGAGGCTCAAAATTACGAATGGAAAGAAAACCAGTTTCCAGCAGCTGCTCTTGATATGTCCAGAATACCCTGAAAATTACTTTACTTCTCAGTAAAAGTCATTTCCTAGCTGAAAAGTCAGAAATTCAACTCTGAGAACAATAAACTGATACTAACTTAGGAGATGAGGACTTAAGGGTCTCTGACTTCCTCCATCAGACACCTTATCCTAGTCTACCTTCCTCTGTGCTGCTTCCTGTGCTGCCCAGAGTTAACGCCAGACTTTGGCAAACACTGACTCCATGCAGAGTGCAACCACTCTAGTTTATGGAAATTTCTTTAAAAAGAAAAACGTTCAAGAATGGAAACTGAGCATACAGAAACATGCAGAACATTCTTCAGTTTTTTCTTAAATTCTGGTTCCTATTACTGGCACATTCTGCTAAACTCAGGGTGATTACTATAGTTTAGACTTGGCTAGAGTGTAGCCACAAAGGTCCATGCGTTGCAGGTGTGGTCCCCAGGGTGGTGATATTAAGCGGTGGGGACCTTTAAAAGCTGGGGGTCTGGTGAGGGTATTTTAACACAGCTAATGTAGTTCTGAAAAGAGACTTGTTATAGAAGAGCAAGCCTGGCCACTTCCCAGTGTCTTTGTCTTCTTACCTGGAGACAGGATCTGTCCACATCTGCTCCTGCCACATCTTGTGCTGCCGTCTGTCATGAGGCCTCACCAGAGCCAAGGTGATGTGAGCTCTGTGACTGAGTAGTGAGATAAATGCACCTCTTTCTTTTTATAAGCTTTTCTTTTGAAAGTATGATAAAAAATACAGTGAATACTAAGGATTTTCTTATGGTAAAAGATACATTGCGTTCATCCCCCTCAAAATATTTCTCCTCACTTCAAACACATTTATCCCATTGTTCTTGCCACTTTCTATGAAGCAGTTCTGGAAGTCCTCTTTCATGTCTTTATGAGGTAAGATTAAAAAAAAATATATGGTGCATGCTACTACTGATTGCCATTACATGGACAGACAGGTGTGTAAAATTATTGTGGTGTGTTTTCACACACTGTCTTAGTTACTTTTCTTTTCGCTGAGACAAAATACCCAACACCCAGAGTTAAAGGAGAAAAGGTTTATTTTGGCTCATAGTCTGTAGAGGTTTCAGTTCATTGTCAGCTGTCTCCAAGGCATGGTGGCATGGCAAAGGAGCATTACAGCAGAGGAACAGTCCCTGGCAGAGCAGGAAGGAGGCATCCAACAGCAAGCTTCCTTTTCCATTTGTCCCATCCAGACTACAAGCCTTTTGGGTGGCAACACCCACACTAAGTGTGGGGCTTCCATTATCCACACCCATAACTATGATAAACCAATTTAGTTATCATATACTTTTAATCCTAGAGTCACACACCCATGATCCAGTCACCTTCCAAAAGCCCCATGCATAAGCTTTCCCGGAACATCTAGATAGAAGCCACAATATTCACCTTCACCCAGTCTGACACCATGAACGTCTGGTTTTTCCCCAAAGTCAGAATGACCATAAAAGGTAAACTTCTGACTAGATTCAGGACAATGCAACTAAACACACTCAGGAAAGGAGGCTTCCAGAACTTCAGAAGTGGCAAGAAAGGTGGAATAAGTGTGTTTGAACAAAACGGGAGCACTTTTAGGGTGAATTAATAATTTGTCTTTTACTGTACTTGTTACTGTAGTTTTAAAAACATTCACTGTATGTTTCAATCACACTTTGTGTAAAAACTTAGCCTCAGGTATTTCATTATGTTAATAGAATAATTAATACAATGACTATCCTTGCACCTTGCTTCTGGTTTTCCTACTGAAATCTCCTCCTTAAAATTCTGGAGTTCTAGTTTCCACTACCTAGTTGTTTTAGACTGTTAATGTTCTTCTCTATTAGATACAACCACCAATTTAAGGCACTAAACAGACAAAGGGACAGGACTATGCCAGTTCAGAAGCAGAACTGAACTTGATTGTAATAACAGACAGACAGACAAGCCAAAGGCCAATGAGAGAAAAGAAAATGTTTTGCTGTCTAAAAGCAAGAACTACTCTGCAAAAAGAAAATAGCACTGGCCACTATAGAAGGACCTAACTCTGCACCAGAAGGCAGACATAGAACTAAAAAGGAGCTGAGATACTTGGAGGAAACTTTCCTTTAAGAATGAAATTTTATTCTACCAAAGGTTAGATGCCACAAACCTATGACAGATTTCACTGTACAGTACAATGAAAGATTGTTTTGAAATGTCTCCCCCACTACATAAAAATTCTGTTTTATGATTTGTCTTGCTAATTTTTCATTCATTTAGATTCTGTCTGGGAGAGACAGTTGACACTGTTAAACAATATTAAGTTCTGTGAGCTCCCTTAGAGAACTGTGGGAAAACATTCAACTGCTGTTATATAAATTAAGCCTAGTTAAATATTTGGGACATGAAGAGAGAGTGTATGTCTTTTGTTTTCCTATTGTCTAGAATAACAGAAACAATTTGGTTTTGTCATCTTGACAAGTTCCAAAATCTGGAGAAGAGGCACCTGAACCATTTTTAAACCCAGTTTAGAGATTAGGAAGTCAGCAATGTGACCTAATAGAAGGAGTTTGAGATCTGAAGGTAGTCTATTCAAGTCCCAATTTGGCTCTTCCAAGCTTCCTAACTAGCAAATCAGCTGGAGTTCCCATTTCCATCACTACTGAAGAAATAATAGTGTCGTCTTCCAAGATGCTATGTGTGATATCAAGTGAAAAGTAAGGCACAAAGAGCTCCACAGGGGATGAGTGACTATCTTTTGCTCACTTCCTGGAGTGTGTTCAAGTCTCAGAAATTTAGCCAGCATTAGCAAGGTACTAGGAATAAGGATATTCTAGTCTCAAACTCATGTCTGCACAATGATCAGCTTTTCTGTTAGCAAAATAGGTTATTTTATGTACCTATGCATTTATATCCATTAGTAGTGAATGGATTACTATACTGAGAATGAGAAGATTTAACTGCTCTACTGCAATGAGTCTGCAGCACATTAGAATCACCTGTGGAATATCTAAACATCCCAATGCCCAATCACACCCAACACTAAATCGGAATATCTGAAGCAGTGTAAGGATCAGTATTGTTCAAAGAACCCCTCAGATAATTCTACTATAGGGCAAAGAAAACTCCTTTATATAGTCACTTGAGGCTACCTTTTGACACGTTTCTGAAGTATGGCCAACTTCAAAATGAAAATGAAAGACCAGGATGCCAAATCTTGAGTCCCTGTACCTTCTTCCAATGAGCCTGGTAGTAGCCACTTGCACTGGCTCTTGTGTTCAGTGGGGAAGAGTGAACCCAGTGGTAGAAGGTGAGCCTGGAGTCAGGCAAGCAGAGGAGACTTCTGCCCAAATTCTATGATGAACAGAAATGGTATACAGAGAGATTCTAATCTCAAATAGAATTGGACAACTTTAGTTTCACCAAAGATAAGCAAATTTCTTTAAGTCAAAGTATGATTGTGGATTTGCTGGTGGAGATTGTAGCAGGATTTCCCTTATGGAAACCTTTCTTTTCTCAGAGCATTTCAAAGACCAGGATTCAAGGAATACATTTTGAGAACATTACAGCAATGTCGAGATTCTTGTCCTGCAGAAGACACTTAACAAAGTCTATAAACCTAACTGGAGGTCTGCTGGTTGTTACTGGTATCCATAGAGACCAGGGATGCTGGAAAACACCATACAACTCACAGGACAGTCTCTACCACAAGGGTTATGTAGCCCCAAATGCCAACAGTGACACAGTTGTAAAGCCACGCATCTCTTCTCCCACGGGCCTCTCCCTGTTCTTAGAAATAAATGATTAGGATACCAAGGAAAGATAGGGAAAAAATAGAAGAGGAACAGAAGAAGATAGGAAGGAAAAAGGATGAAATGAAAAGGAGAAGGTGGAAATAAAAGGCTGGAGAAAAGGAGAGAAGAAAAAAGTCAGCTTCTTAACTGTCAAAAGTTGGAAGCAACCAATATGTTCTTCAGAAAGCACTGGTAAGTAAACTGTGGTACATCCAAACGATGGAATAGCATTCAGCACTAACAAGTAATGAGCTATCAATCTAAGAAATGACGTGAGGGAAATTAAATGCATATTCAAGTGGAAAAAAGGCAATGTGAAAGGGCTACCCACTGTACAATTCTAACCATATGACATTTTGAAAAGGGCAGAACTGTGCAGGTGGTGAAAAGATGAGGGATTTGGGGGGGTGAATAAAGGGAACACAGGATCTGTAGGGCAGTAAGATGATTCTATACAAACCTACAGTTGTGGACAGGTCACACATTTGCCTAAGCCCAAAGCAAGTGAACCCTGATATAAGCTATGGACTTCGGTTGATAATGATGTATCAATGTAGATTCAATAATTTTAACAAATGTATGCTCTGATGAGGGATGTTGATAGCGGAGGGGGCTATACTTGTGTTAGAATAGAAATGCTTGGGAAATTCTCTGTCCTTTCAGCTCAATGTTATGAACCTAAAATTTCTCTAAAATTAAAGCTTTTTTGGGGGGGAGAAGGAAAAAGAAGCAAAAGGCACACTAGTGGTGGGTGCCCCCAGTCTCCATGGCCTTTATTGCTTCTCTGAGTTCAGGAGGCTGTGTGCCCGCTGTCACCCGCAAGCTGGTGGGCCATGGCCAGGGGAGCAAGCAAACGCAGGGGACCCTTCGCCCGGTGAATGTTCTGTGCCTGAACTCGGTGTCCTCCTTGGCTAGGAAGTTCTCGCACCCTGCTGGGCTTCTTGGGATCCTTGTTCTTGGCGGGCATGAAGGCGTACAGCTCCTCGATGATCATCGCCATGAGGGCGGTGACCTCGATCACCGTGTCGATGACCAGCAGCTGCTGCAGCTTCAGCTTGTTCTCCCACAAGGCCTTGTTCTCCTCTTGGAGGGCGCCGTGCTTCTCGAGCAGCGCGTGCAGGGCCCTGTTCTCCTGCAGGAGGCGGTTCTCCTCGCGCAGGGTGCGCAGCGCCTGGCCCCTCTCCCTCAGCAGCTGCAGTGGCCCCGGGCTCGCCTTACCCTCCTCCTCCCTGGATGGCCCCGAGAGGCTGCAGATCAGCTCCCGCAAGGCGCGCAGCGTCTGGGCGTCCTCCTGCGGGGTCGCGGGACCTTTGGGCTCCTCGGAGGAGGAGGAGAGACCTGGGCCCTGGTCGGGCAGTAGCCCCGGGCTGTGGGGCTCCTCGTGGGGAGAGGGGCCGGGTGTGCAGCTCTCCACGGCGGCTGCCTTGTCCTCAACCCGGGCCCAGTAGGCCTGGCTCTGTGCCAGCAGCTGCTGCAGCAGCGTGCGGTTCTCTTCGCGCAGCAGCTGGAGCGAGCTGCTCTCCTTGCTGCGCTGCGCCGGAGGGGCCGCGGGCTCCTTCTGCACCGCCTCTTGTGAAGCGCTCTCCTTGCGAAGCAGAGGCGAGGGCGGCTGGCTGTCCTGGCATCCCACCGTGGCCTTGTGCTCCTCCCAGAAGACCTGCAGGATCTTGTTCTCCCTGCGGAGCGCCCTGTTCTCCACGCGCAGGGCCCGGTTCTCCTCTCGCAGGCACCTGCTCTCCTCCTGCAGCAGGTACTCCTAGGACAGCCTCTTGTGCTGCAGCTTATGGTGCAAGGAGGAAGAGGGAGAGAAGTACGGGGACTGCGGCCGGCAGTTCTCATTCACCCACCGCCCGTCCTGGAACACGACGGTTCGTGTTCGCTGAGCTGAGCTGCACGCGCGGAGGGTTGTAGTCCAGCTCCAGGTCGGCCTGGGAGGTGGGGCGCTCCATGGGATCGAAGGGCGCCGAGGAGAAGCTGTTGAGGGGGTAGGAGTGCTGGCTGACGACCCGGCGACTGAGCCCGGGAACAGCGGCCTCGCGCGAACAGCGAGGGGTGTGCTGTACAGGTTGTGGAGCTTCAGGTAGGGCTCGGCGATGCCCCTCTGAGGAGAGAACAGCGAGCAGCTTTAGTGGAGCAACCGAGGCACCCAGAGGACCAAAAGGCCAGGACACTCCAGTGAGCCGCATGGGGCATGTGGTCAGGAAAGCTCTGGCCTGGCCATGGAGGGCATTTTTGCCTCTTGGGGTCCTCACAAAGCGATACGTCAATGCGTATTATTCCAACCAGCTCCGGTCTCTAAAGCCCCCAGGAATAATGAATTAGGTTCCTGCAAGCCTCTGGTCACAAGGTTTTTGCCAGCTAATCAATTCATGACCCTGTTCTACGTGTGTGTTTAAAGACACTTTAATTAACATGTATGACTGATTCATTAACGTGGAACAGATCATTAACCACCGTCACTCACGCCTGAACGCATATCTGGCATGAGTTTCCCCCATAAACTCATCTTAGGCCCTCTTGTTATACAGGAACACCAGACAGTTCAGTTCGGCAGCTCTGCACATGGGAGCCATCTTAAACAGTGACATCACATACGCGTGTGTGCGCAATACACACACACACACACACACACACACACACACACACACCTTTCAAAGATGTGACACTAGTAAACTCCACAAAGAACTCTATTTTCCAAAAGCTCAAATAAGAGAGCTCCTCAGCTAGAGACATGACACCACCCAGGTCTAACAATGGCCATAAAAGTGCTGTGACTGTGATACTGGGGTTACATATTTTGGTGAGCAGGCAAATCCATAAACATAAAATCCAAAAATAATGAGATTCAGATTCATATGGTGGAAGCTAAAGGGATAGCTCTTGGAATCAACTAAATTATTTTGTGTCTGACTTCATCTGTTGTCAAGAATCTGGGCAAGTCATCAGACGTTCAGTATCTACAATTTTTAATTGGAATACCTTGTACTTTCTTGCTTCATGTTTTAAGGATTAAAAGAGGTAAAATACAAAAGCACTAAGCATGGGCTCTGGCACATTCCTTCACCCTGGAAAAGGAGCAAACACTGTTTCAAGCTGCCCTACCCACAAGTGTATACCCACGCTTGGCATGAGGAGAGGGGCAGCATTGATCACCCCAGCACACACCCAAATTGCTGTGTCCAAAAGACATAGGTATCTTTGGCCATCCCAGCCTTCCCCTGTGGTCCATTAAAGCTCACCCTACATTCTCAGCTGCCCTGGAGTTGGCCTATCACTTGCCCTTAAACATCTACCCAGCCCTTGACACAGGAAAAGGTTCAAATCTGAGTCTGGCTGATAATTTTGGAAAGAAGAGCATCATTCCAGATTTATCACTGAGGGACTGGGGTTCAAAACGAGGGGATGAGGACAGTGAAAGGCATTTAGGCATTCATACAGAGGATCTCGTGATGGTGGCTGTGATCTCAAAGCCACAGAGGAGGACCAGACCTACACAGTTTAAGTCCAACAGGCTAGTGGATTCCTGGTGGAGATGACTAAGTGAAATGCAGATTTTTGAGTTGTCCATTTGGGAGTTCGATTTTACCTGATCCAGCGCATGGGCCAGGAATCTGCCTTTCTAACCAGCTCCCTCAGTTGATTCTGTCAGCATGTGGTCAGAAAAGCTCTAAGCCAGATAAAAGTCCTGTTTTCCTATATCACATTACACCAGGGTTAAAGACCAAGAAGTCAAGACTGAAAGTCACAGCCTTCTCACCCTGATTCTGTCACTGATGGATGGTGTGAAACTAATAGACTCTCTCACCCTCTCTGAGATCCAGATGTCTGTCTAGTGAAAAAGGGAGAGTCGGGCTGCATGGGCTTAAAGGTACCTTCCAACATTAAAAGGCAGCAGTATGTACCTGTAAAACAAGAACAATGACATATGCCCTGCTTCACCACTACTGTCAAGATTGAATTGGATAATGAATGAAAAATGTTTTTTAAATTGTCAAGTGCCTTAGATATGTAAGGTATTTTTATCAAGAAAAACAGATTTCTCTAGTGCAAGAACTATGAGATGTATTCAGAAAGAAGTGAACAGGTATAAAACACACTGAAGAAGAGATTACAATTGCAGTAATGAATTTAAATAAAAATAAGATTATGATAGCTATTTTTGAATATGTCAAAAGCATTTCATACAAGTATATCAAAACACTGTGCAGATATGAATTCTTCATTTCCTAGGTTATTTTCACAGTTTTACAGAGATAGAAGGCAGAAAACAAGTCAAGCTACCCACATTGTGTATGTGTATATAGAGAAATGTAATTTGCATGGTTATAAAGTTAATTAAAATTCTTTAAGACTCAAAGACTAGGTAAATAGAAGACACAGTTCTATTCCATTAACTTTGCAATAAGCACATGCCATTAACTTTGTAAGGATATGCTCAATCTTCCGGATAGCAAGAGTGTGAGGGCATTCTGCAAGCAGAACCTTATCTATTTTCAGTAAATTCAGCTTCCACGGATTTCACATTTTTCAATTGGAAAAGCACATCAGCTGCTGTAGCTGATCTGTGATCAGACTGAACCTCACTGTAGATAACCCAGCCTGGGTGTCCAGGAAGGTTAGCCAAGTCCTGGAAGGAAAGAATCTTGAGGAGGCCTCTCCAACCCTGCACAATCTAGGCAAGGATCCCTTTCAGCAGGATCTGGATCCAGAAGACACTACCATGGAAAACTGTAGTTTTAGTCAACAGTGTATATCCTAATCCTGCTTTTAAAAAAAAGGAAAAATGAAGCAAGTTATTTATTCCTAATTTTATTCTACATCCTAAGCATTCTACCCACATAATTTATTTAATCTTCACAACACTGGCCTGTGAAATATTATCACATGCGGATAAAAATCCAAAATGCCAGGGATTTAGCTCAGTGGTTCTGCTGCCTGCCTTGCAAGTGCAAGGACCCGAGTTCGATCCCCAGCACCAAAAAAAAAAAAATCCAAAATGCTTCAAAATCTGAAATTTTTGAGCACTAACATGTTGCCACAAATGGTAAATCCACACCTGACCTTTGCGACAGGTTTCAATCAAAGCATAGGTACACTAAAATTATTGCATGCAATGTTTTCAGGCCATATATGTAAGATATATATGAAGCATAAATAAATTACATCCCCAAGATATCTCATTATGTGTTTATAAATATTCCAAGATACAAAAAAAGTACAAAATCTAAAACACTTCTGGTTCCAAAACTTTTGAATAGGAACACTCAAATCTAGATTCTTACGTACAGTGTAAAACATACACAAGGAAAATGCCACGCATCAAAAAGTACTTGAAGTATTTTCAAAGTCAAGATTACTTTTTTTCCTTGATTTTTTTCCTTTTTCCAGCAGGGGGATCAAACTGAGGCCCTTTCACTTGCAAGGCTGGTGCAGCACCACTGAGCTAAATCCCGGGCCCTCCTTAACTTCTTAATAAGGAAAATTTCTGACATACATGAAAGCAAAGAGAATAATCGAATAAATTTTAGTTTACTCATCACTCAGCCTCACTAATTATCAAATCAAGACCATACTTGTTTCTTCCAGACTACTACGCAATCCCAAAGCACTAGTTTATCTAAAGACATCAATATGTATCCTTTCAAAGAACAATACCATTGTCACCCCTTTAAAATTTAACTACTATCCCATTACATCAGCAAACAGTCAGTGTTCAAATGTTCCCAGTTGTCTCATGGTTCCTTTTTCTATGACTGTTTTATTACCATCAGAGAGACAACCCTTCTTGATCCAACTAACTTTCAAAGAGGAACCACTGATGTATTATACCTGTTCATCATTGTATCCTCTGTGGCCCTTAAATCCCACCATCCATCTGCCTATGTTCTACGTGCACATGCTGAACTAGGTACCTGAGGCCTTTCAACTATACCTTCAATAGAAACACACTAAAAGAACCTTAAGATGTGGCAGATTCCCAGCTCTGGACAACCTAGTATTTGAGTTCTTGTCTTCCTTATGTGTCACCAGGTGACTTTGGTCGCATCCTCTTGCTCTGAAGTTTGTATAGTTTGTTTGCCAAGTTTGTATACTGTAGAATTAGAAACATTATCTCCTTGTGCCTTTTGGTCTAACTTTCTCTGATCTGATGGATCTGTGTTTGTAGACAGGTCTCTAGCAGACCTATTTTAACCTACATGGTTGGTATCTTGTCCTCTCCCACAAATGACCAAATTTCCCAAGCAAAGCTGAGACTTCCCTCTTCTGGGCTCACATTACCTAAGCCACAAATGTTGCTAAACAAATAGGTCTCATGCTTCCTTATCAGGAAACAAATCTTCCCAGGAGAGACTGAGCCCTGCTCTTGCTCCTCTTTTCTCCTACAGGTCCAAGAAGGTGGCCACATGCAGTGGGACCTTATGACTCAGTTTCTTAACTAGAACACTTAAGCATCTTTAACATTTTAATAGCCATGCACTCATTTAAACAGGAACTTTATTGTCAGACAATATGCTGATTACTTTCCATAGTCATCTGCTATATCTTACCCAAAAGAAATGAAATGGTTCCACCTAACATGGCATAGCTAAGAAAAGAACAGAGCCAGCATTTAGAATCAGGATATTTGACTCCAAATTCCATCCTCATTCTAGCACTCCAGGTTGTCCATGGAATACATGTGTTAATACCATTACTTTACATTGCATCCTTTCCTCCCCTTTCCATTTAGTTATATGAATAAATTGCAATAACCTGTGGCTAGTGAACTATCCCTTATTTTTCTGACATCTTTAGTCTTGTGAACAAGAACCACATATGTGACATGCATGGAGGCTTAATGAGTCCTTGCCAGTGAATGAATTAACCAAAATACTCTAAAAAGTTGGAGAAGAAACTAAGTTGAACTGAATAAACATGTTAATATTCTACTATTTTTGACCTATACAAGTGGCTTTTTTTTTTTTTTTTTTTTTTTTTTTTTTTTATTTTTTTTTTTTTTTTTGGTCTTAAAAGAACAAAAAGAGGCCCTGGAATGAGGTCTGAGCTTAAAAAACAAAAACAAAAAACCCTGGGTCACCATGAAAAGGTTCTCCTAAGCCCAGAAGGCAGGGCCTATGGCAGCACAGCCCACTTTTCCCACAAAGAGTAAAGAAATATAATTGGTGAAGTTATAGCCTCATTTCAATCACATTTGAAACATGCAAAACAGTGGCAGTGCAGAGCTGTTGCCACATGATGCAAAAACTGTACTAGTTTTCCCGTACGAATTCCACAAAGCTTCAGGTCCATCTAGGTGTCATCTTAAAGGAATCTACCCCTAGTTGTACATCTCATCATCTTGAACCCATAATCCAATCAAAGCAGAGGCCCTAAATTCCCATTAGCTTTCAGTTCAGAAGTCCAATGGTTGAGGGTGCTTGAGAATCTCTTTGCTTCTCTAAATGCTGCCTCTGACATTCTTCTTGCTTCCTACTGTTGTAAGAGGACAAGTGACCAAGACATATCATGTAAAGGTACAAGATCCCAATGATAAATGTAACTGTATTGTTTTCTTTAAATGCACTAATAAATTTAAGGGCGGGGGAGGACAAGTGGTAAGTAAGCTTCCATAAAGACCAGAGAGCCAGCTTGACTGGTAACACAACCATTCCTGGCCTAAACTGCTAATGCAAATGCTGAATAGGTTTCTTTTCTAAAAAGGTCTCTCCAAAACATAGCATCTGAGTCAAGCAAACACATGCAAGCATAAGGTCACACACAGCCTCAGCCTGTGTATGCAACCAGCTCCTTCTCAGTAGTCTTCTCAGCCACTGGTATTACTGGGTTGGTTCCACAAGCTGAGCTAATCTGCTCTGATAACCTTGGCCCTGACAAGAGGTCTGCGCCTGAGACATCCTGAAAAGTTTCTCCTGAGCCTAGGAGGTAGAACCTATGCTGCCCAGCCTAAGTGTCCCATGAAGGAAAGGATTGCCTCATTCCTGATCTCTGAAAACCAGAGATAGAGGCCCAGTAAGTGAGGAAGAAAAAGGCAGACTCTGTGGCAGAATGAAATGTGAAGTTGTTGCTGCAGGCAATATATTTGGCTCAGAGGCCCATCACATCTCCTGCCAGGTGTTAGAAAGGCAATCAAGAAGCTCTGTCCTTAGGAGCAAGGAATGTGCTCCCAGCTATGACAGAACAAACTGTAAGCGTTGGAGCCCTGGGCACACACACTGTCCTCATGGGTGCCAGAAATCCCACCCATGGAAGGGAATCTTTCCTTAGCATACCCCCCCTTCCTTCCATCTCCTTTATAGATGAATAGCCCCAGAAGGAAAATGGCTGAAATCACCAAGAACTGTGTGCCCTTGTCAGATCACTGACCTCAGACCTAATGAGGAACACTGGAGAAGAGCAGCCAATTAATTCTAAGGAGACAGGCAGAGGACAAAAGGGAAGTGATAGCACCAGAGTCTCTTACAGGAGACCTAAAAAACAGGAGTCTGTGGGTAGAATCTTCTGGGGTACAGTTAACTGAAGTTGGTGGCCTCCCACACAGAGTACGGGGATGAGACCACCCAGGCTTAGCTGACATGTATGAACGCGTCCTCGAAATATCAAGTGTTGGAAACTTAGCCTCCAAAGTCATACATTAATGGGATTTGGAGGTGGGACCTGCAAATGGGAGCTGATTCAGTTGTGAAGACTCTGCCATCATGAATATAGTTCATGAAGAAATAAGTTATTGCAGGAGTGCCTTTTTTATGAAAATGAACTCTCTGTGGCTCATTTGCTCTGACTCATGATGCTCTAAAGGAGCGTAAACAAAGGGGAAAGAGAAAGGGTAATAGGGAAGGACAAAAGGTACAAGGAAGGTGCTGGCGGAGCTCATTCTGGCCTGGTGTAGATCATTAATAACCTAGCAGTAAATGTACTTCAATGAAACTCAGAGCGCACTGTGGGGAAGAGTGCCTGTGAAAACCAGACTCATTACATACAAGAGGAATCAGGAGATTAGTTCACTTGGGCAGGAAATAACATTGATGGCTTACAAGTTAATGTGCTGGAGGGAAATAGTTTTCAGAAAACACAAATATTTAATGTGAGGAATAAAGATGGGAAATCAATAAGACCTGAGAAGACCTAAGGGTGATAATAAATAGTAAATCATAGGTATCTGCAGTGTAATTGGAGAAGCCAAATGTCCAGAAGGACTGGGAGCTGGGAACCAGAGGCACTTACTGGGGATGGAGCTGTGGTGATTCCCTTCCAAGATGAATGGACTTGGTCTCAGAACAAAGCTGCATAGGGCTGATATAAGGAGCTCCTTGGGGTGAAAGATAAGATTGGGGGTACAAGGTGCTATTCCATAGAAGTAAGGGAGGAATCACAGAGCTAAAATGAGACCTGGCTTGGCACGGTGGTATGCCCAGCAGAGGGCATACCTGAGCATTGATCGGAGTTCAAGCTTTAATTCCAGTTCTGCCCTTACTCAGGGACTTCCCAATTCTCATACCTGTGAAATCTCGTCCTCAGACTTGCACACAATGCCATCAGTGCTCAGTCAATATTTCTTCCTCCCCTGTTTCCCATATCAATCCTTTCCCCCAAGCTGTGCACCATCTCAGTTGGGGAGGTACAAGGAATATATCAGGTCTTCTCACAGCCCCAGGGATGGTTTCAGATCATCTACCCACAGGCACTGCTCCCTTCCCCCAGAGAACCAGTCCAGAGCATCCTGGCAGGTGCCACCTACCTTGTGCCACCATGGCAGGTGTATCAAAGGTTGCATCAGTTGATGTGGGACACACATGCCCAGGTTGATCCCCCTCATCCCCCCACCCCCCACCTTCAAGGACCCCAGCAGTGGCACCAGATCAGCACCACAGGAAGTGGGCAGCCCCAGAATAAGCTCCAGCCTTCTTAAACCACCTGTTCTCCTCCTTAACCTCCAGGCTGTTCCTGGGAGCTGGGGAAAAAGTTGTGCTAGGGGAAGATGGATGAATCTTTCCAATTTTTTGGTCACATGACCACTTTCAAATCCTATTACCACCCCATCCCCAAGTTGGTACCCTCTGCTGAACTCTTAACACTGCAAAGACTAAGAAGGAATCAAAGACTCTGAAGGAACCGAAGCAGTATACATCTTCAAGAGGGTAGAAGTGGCCAATGGAACTCAATTTGTGTTTCAACTAGGAAGAATCAGATCTGAAAAAGTGCCTGTAGTTTGTTATCATCTATCAAACGATCAGGAGAAATTTATCTAATACTCTGGCTAAGCTTTATGAGCTGAAACAAATAGGAAACTAGTTAACCATTACAAAATTACAAGGGTAATGTGAAAACAAACATCCAGAATGTTTACTTGTCTATAGTTTTGCCTCCCATCTAATATATTTGTCTACACTGTTATAATTACACAGATTGAATGCCCACTGGAGACACATCTTCCTTGTACACTTCCTTAGGTGAAAATTTTAGTAGTTACCTCTGTACTGGCTTCCTCCATCCTACATTTCACCCCCTCTAGTTGAATGGCCATGGTCTTCCAATGGAGCCTTAGGTGACTCTGGAGAAAGCAAAGCCACCCCTTTGTGACATAGCAGCACTGAAACATTCCAATCAAAAGGACCTACTAAGAAAATGACTGGTTGTAGGAAGAGACCTGAGGATCCCAAACCTTTCTGGACTTCAACAATTCATTGGTCTCAAAACACACAGAAAACAAAAACTACTACAACAACAAATACCCATGTTTCTTACAGCCTGTCTTTGGTGGGTAGCAGGGCTGAATTCTCTTGAAAACCCCAAATGACTCTGTACACTTTGGTCAGTGTACTAACTTTTCTCCTCATGGATTCATTCTTATACATTTGACTGGGCCTTCAGCTCTAATCCTTACCCCTCAGAAATCCAGGGTGGTCACCAGAAGTAAGCCTCAAAGGACCTCATTTGAGAAGGTTTATTCAGAGTATGATAGAAAATAGAAAGCACTGGGTTGAAGGGTCTTATCAGCTCATCTAACTCAAACCTCTACATTTAAGGCTCAAGTCTCTCAGTCAGTGACAATCAACCTGACTTCTCTGCTCTTTGGGAAATATTTTGCTAGAGTTTTGAAAGAAGTAAGTTATTTTGACTAAAACTCATGGGTTGCATCCTTCCGAGATTATCCCTACCTGAGGTAGAACCACATTGATTGGAATTTCTAGGCTTTCAGATCTGGTATCTCCTTTTCTTATAAAATTTGGCCTTCAATGCTGTAGAAAAGAGAAAATAAGGTTTTTGCTTCTAAACTCATCTTCTGAGCTTCATCTACTCACTGAAATACATGATAATTTTCCACTGATTTATCCCCTTCTTGTCAATTATGTACATTATGAAATCTGAGTCTGAAGGTATGTGTAGATGATATAAGATTCTTCATTGATCTTTGCACAGAAATTAGCACAGGAATTATAGTTAACCTAAAAGCCTTTGGACATCTTTGAAGCAGAAATAATTACACCTACTTCCTTACCTAAGACTATTATTTTTATCCCAAACAAAAAGCCATACCACTGTGAGATGCCAGGTATACATCCTATGCAGAAATTGGTCACCAAAGCACTCAGAACATTCCAGAGGTGACATCACAAAATAATTAGGTGTTTCCCAGGGCTCATAGTTCTCTGAGTATCATAGGTGTGAATGAAGCATCTGACAGCCAGGAACAGTTTGCTCTGGCTATGATCACAGGGCCGGTCAGTGTCAGTGTGACACATAGTGGCCCAAACACTAGCCCCGTGCTTGGTCATCCCAGATGTCTCTCACATCTTCACTGCCAGCCTAGGTTGAGACTCCTATCCTTCCTCCAGAACACAGATGGCATCATTTAAGAAGGAAGAATCACCCTATAGTCTCAGCACTCTGGGAGGCTGAGTCAGGTTTACAAATTCAAGCAACTTAGTGATTTAGCAAGACCTTGTCTCAAAATAAAACTTAAAAAAAAAAGACTGGGAATATAGGTCAGGGCAAAAGCCCTGGATTCAATCCCCAGGACTTTTTTTTTTTAAGGGAGAGGGGAGGATACAAACTAAGTTCAATTCCATTCTAATATAACCTACCTGGATTTAGCATCAGATCCCAGAAACTGGAGGCTCAGCCCCATGAGACTTCCTTGGCTTCAGATACCAATCACAGGCCTGGCTTCTTCTACTCTTGACTGATCAGCTATGGACCAAGAGTTCCTATGATCCCCTCCTTGGGTAGAATAATTTTCTAGAATGGCCCAGGGAACTCAGCAAAACACTTACGATTCAATTTTATTATGCGACAACTCAGTAAAAGCCAAGTGAAAAAGATACATAGGGCAAGACATGGGAGGGTGGTGTGGGGCTTCTGTGGTTTCTCTAGCACCACATTTCTAGCTGCTCACCGTCCCCAAAGCTCTCTGAATCCAGTTTATGAGACTGTTATGGAGATCTCACTACATAGGCACAGTTAATTAAATCATTGGCCATTGATAATTTAGCTCAATCTCAAACCCCTCCACCTTTCCAGAGATTGGGGGGCTAAAAATTCCAGCTCTTCCATCTCCTGGTTGGCTCCTCTGGCAACAATCTCTGGCCCTGACATAGTCACTTCATTAGCACAAATTAAGGTATGTTACAAAAGAGCTCTGTAAAACACTTATGATTAGGTAATCCCAAGGGTTTTAGGAGCTTTCTGTACCAGGAACCAGGGAAAAAAACAAATACATATACTTTTTTTTTTTTTTTAACTGGAGATTGATCTCGGGACCTGTGCTTGCAAGGCAGGTGGTGGAACCACTGAGCTAAATACCCAGCCCTACATATATCTGTTATTATACTATATGTAGAAACTGCATTAAGATCATAATACCTAGTCCCTTTGATCTCAATTCAATCAAATCATTCATCTTTGGGGCTATTAGTGGGAATCCTCTTGTATGTACTAACTCTCTTATAACCTTGAAAGCCCCAATTCTGCATTATAATGTTTTTGGGATTAGGAAGGAAATGGTGGTTCCAGGTCAGCAGATACAGAGACATTGACACTTCCACACTCAAGTTACAAGCAAACCTTGTTTTAATAAAATTCAAACCAGATGTAATGGCACATGACTGTAATCCCAGCACTCTGGGAAGCTGAGGTAGGAGGATCACAAATTTGAATTCAGCCTGGGCAACTAGGTGACTTAACAAGACCCTGTCTCAAAATAAAAAATAAAAATGGCTGGAGATGTAGCTCAGTGCAAAAGCCCTGGGTTCAATCCTCAGTACTGATGGAGAAGGAAGGAAGAGAGGGAGGGAGGAAAGGAGGTATGGAGGGGGGAAAAGAAGGGAAGAGGGAGGGAGGGAGGGAGGGAAAGAAAGAAAAGAAAATTTGTTATGCAAAAATTCAAGTGTATACCTACAGGAAAACCAAGAAGGTAATCAATTGCATTACCAAAGAATTTTCTTTTAACAAAGAAAGTTTTCCAAGGGTTTTTGTTTTAATTTTAAAATTGTGGTTACAGCTGCATAACATTTTAACCATTTTAACATATGGCTCGATAGCGTTGAGTATATTCACATTATTGTGCAGTAAATCTCTTAGAAGTTTTTCATCTTGCAAAACTAGAACTCCTATTAAGCACTATTTCCTCTTCTTTCCTTCCCACAGCCCTTAGTAAAGACCTTTCTATTTTCTGTTTCTATGATTTTGACCACATTACATATCTCATATAAGTAGAATTATAGAGTACTTGCCCTTTTGTGTCTGTCTTATGGCTTCAGGATTCACCCATGTGGGAGCATATGGCCGGATTTCCTTCTTTTTAAAAGGCTGGATATATTATTATACATATACAGTCACATTTTATTTATTCACTCTCTCCTCCATAAACATTTGGATTATTTCTATCTCTTGGCTATTGTGAATAAAGCTACAGTGAACATGAGTGTAAAAATACCTCCTTGACATCTTGATTTGAGTTTGAATATATACCCATAAGTGGGACTGCTAGATCACACAGTAATTCAAATTTTAATTTTCTAAGAACACTCACACTGTTTCCCGCAGTCGCTGGACTATTTGTCATTCCCATCAACAGAACAGTTCCAAATTCTCCACATCCTCACCAACACTTGTTCTCCATTTCTCCAGATTCTTTAAGAGGTGAGTTCTGTACTATCTGAAAACAGAACTCTATTTTTCCTCATATACGCACCTCAGAGAAGCCTCTACATGTTTATTGGGATACAGTGAGAAGAGCTACAAAAAGCACGAGGAAACACAGGGGGATAGCAGAAAAACTTGAAGCCTGGAAGGAGGTAATTATTCAAATTGTCTCACTCCTTTGACTCCTTCTTCCAGCAGCTGGCACAAACTTAGTGCCTCTGGGGATGCAGTATCCACTTATGTGAGGCTCATTTATGTGCCTCCTTGATAGATTGAATTGCTTTTCTATCTTTAAAGGGAGAAGTATTTTAACCTGGGCCATCTCAGTACCGGTATCTGCAGTTGCCCATTAACTGGGTTTCCCCCTCCTTGGTACGATACACACAGCCATATCCTAGTACTGAGAAGCTTCCTTGAGAGCTCACCCAAATGCCTGTTATTACTCAGATTAACAATATCATCAATCATCCATGTCCTATGAGCATCTGCAATTGGCGAGCACTTCCCAGAGCCCGGAGGTAGACATGCCTCTTGGGTGTCTAATCTGAACAGACAGGTAGAGCAGAGACAAAGGAAAGGGCAAGCATGCATCTGAGACTCTCCAGGCTTCTCTTGCCTGCAACTGTCTGATGACATATCACATAGAGAAAATCAACCAACAGGAGGCCAGGACTCCCTGCCCTTCCTCAGAGTCACACAACCACAGCTCATGGTCCAGGAATCAGAGGTGAGAGTGAGGCTATATTCTGACCTTCCTCACCCTCTCATTTGTGGAAAAAGAGATAGAAAAATGGGTGTGGGTGGTAAGTTATTATGAGGTCTGTCATTTCCAAATTGCATGACATGACTAAGATGTTGACTACTTTTGCTATTTGGGACAAAGGGCAGCTGTACTGTGGCGCAGCCCAAATACAGTAAGATCTTCGGCCAAGCTGCCCTTGGGACAAACCAATAGCTGTAACCTACTGAAGAAGCAAAAAGGAAGAGCCAGAAAGTGCAAGAGAGACTGCTGGCAAGTCAAGTCTACGGGGACAGTCTGAGAGTAGATGGAAGTAGAAAAATTGAATGGCAGCTTGAGAGGCAGCTGGCTGAGGTGAATTGTTGTTAAGACAGAAGAATCCTTCACATTTCAGCAGTGTTGAAGAAAAGGATTGGAGGTGAAGGTGTTGTACTGTAGTGCTCTCGGCCCTCCTACATTCCAGAGATAATTCTGAGAGCATATCCCCCTTGATGAAATCAAAAAACAGACCATGTGCAGGAATGGTCCCCATAAGTAACATTCAAACTTAGGGGTCTCTAGAGCTGTATACAAACCTCATAAAACTTTCCTTCTAAATCCAAGAGCTACTAGAAGTTCCTCCAAAGTTCTTTCTGCTAATATTTATTTGTTCAGTTGATCTAAGAATGAAGCTCTATCAAAAGATGCCCAATGGAAAAGACATTCAGTCTGTAGGAAATGTTTCTTTGGTTTGAAAAGTGTCAAAAGAGGCAATTAGGGAAGTTTCTGGATTTCCTCTGATATTATAATTGGCCTTGAAATCAGAGAAAGGTCTGAAGCTGTGATAGTAGACCAGACACTTCCAAACAAAGAAAGTGGGTTTTCATTTTACTTTTAACCAATACAGGTGAATTTAGGGCATTGTTTATTGGGACAAGTCTAATCATAATTATGCAATTATATACATTTCCATTTAAGTAAATGAAAAATCATCGTTAGTCATCTGTGTAATCTCTTAAATGAATTGTCTATTAGTTGTTCCTTAAAAATAATGGAATGCATACTGTCTTAGTCATTTTCTCATTGCTGGGACAAAAGACCTAACATCACAATTTCAAGCAGGAGAGGTTTGTTTCAGTTTCAGAAGTCTCACTCTTTGCATCATTGGCTGACTCCGAGCCAGAAAAAACATGGTGGACCAGCCTGGGAGGAAAGCTACTCATATCATGGTAGTCAGAAAGCAGAGAAAGTGAAGGAGGAGCAGAGAAGGGAGATCTACCCTTCTAAGTCATACCCTCAGTGACTCACTTCTTCCAACCGGATCCTACCTTTAGCACATTCAGCTAAAGACTCATCAGTGGATAAATTCAGTGATAAGTATAGTGCCCCGTGATGCAATCACCTCTCAAAAAGTCCCACATCTGAACACGTGAAGCATTGGGGGAACATTTAGAATTATATTGTAACATTCCACCCCGGCCCCTAAAAGACTCAGGTGCATCTCTCTATGTAAAATGCATTTAATGCATCTCTAATACTCACCAGTCTTAACAGTTCCAGCATTGCTGAAAAGTCCAAGTCCAAAGACTCCTCTGACACTCAAAGCAAACTCTTAGTTGTGAGGCCCTGTTTTAAAAAAAAAAAAAAAAAGTTATACACTGCTGAAATACAGTGACACAGGAAAACCATCCCCATTCCAAAAGGGTGAGTTGGGGGATAGAAAAGAATGATACC